ATATATATATATATATATATATATATATATATATATATATATATATATATATATATATATATATATATATATATGTATATATATATATGTATATATATATATATATATATATGTATGTATATATATATATATATATAGTATATTATATATATGTATATATATATATATATATATATATATATATATATATATATATATATATATATATATATATGTATAAGCATATTCATATTACAGTATATGCATACACATTTCTAAATATCCACCTCGGAAAACAGTCCCCCCCCCCCCCCGGGCGAGTCCGCGCGCGAGGAGGCCCTCGTCTCGAGTTGCTTCTCCTGATGCTCCGGCTCCTTGCCTTTCGGAGCAGCGGCTTCGTTACAGCTAAGAGCCACTTGTCTAAAACAGGCATGTGGTCATCCGGCCGAGTGTGTGTGGCGGCCGTACCAGGTGCAGGAATTTAGGAAAGGCCTCTTGAAGGAGATGTGTTTGTTATATAGAGGAAAGTGTGTTGTTTTTCAGTGTGTGTGTGATGGCGGAGGAGGACGAGTAGGAGGGATAGGTTTCATGAATATTCGTAAATATTCTGATGCGTTTGTGTTCGTTTGCGACCGTGCTTATGGGTGTACGTGTTTATGGACGTGAGTGTTTGTGCGCGTGCCTAAGATATATACCGATTCAAAAATACGTACAAATTGTCCAATGAACAAGTGTATTTCTAACTAAAGGGGAACACTTGCTTATAATTTGCTAAGTTTCACAACCTTCAAATAATTAAATCCCCAAAAAAAGACTTCGCTCTCACAAAAAAAAGAGTTTTGAGAAGAAAAATATTCCAGGCCTTTCGCCTTCACCTTGGCATTCAGGGAAACGCGCTTCTTTATTCCCACACGAGTTACTCGCCAAGCTAAATATAGGCATCTTGTTAAAAAGAACAAATCTCTCCCCCCAAAAAAATATAAAGAAAAATAAAAATAAAAAGAAAAGCTATTCAGATAGAAATAAAATTTCAATCAAATCCAATTCTCTATCCTCCTCCCCCCCCATATCAAATCCTCTTTTCCCCTTTTTCTCCTTTTTTTATCCTCCTTTTTATCTCTCCTCTTTCAATCGCTTCCATAACTCACAAGTCCCTCCAGGCAGACAGACAGACACACGTACCCTCGCTCCCTCGAGAAGACCCCGCTGCAGTAATAGAATCCTTTGCAGCAACTTGTCCCTTGCAATAGGTCACTCGATCTTGCTCTCCTTCTGGACAAGGATTCCTCCTCCTACGGACGCGCCAGGAATGCAACCGGATCTGGCGGAACCCGAACTTGGGCAAGCAATTTGGAATCGGCGAGAGAAGAGGGGGGAAGGGGGGGGGGAGGAGGGTAATTATGGAGAAGGATAAAGCGAGGATGAAGATTGGAGGCAAGGAGGATGGGAAAGAATGAGAAAATGAGAGAAAGAATAAGGGGATGAGACACAGGAGACAAGAAAACAGAAAGGGGGTAAGAGGAGAGAGAGAGAGAGAGAGAGAGAGAGAGAGAGAGAGAGAGAGAGAGAGAGAGAGAGAGAGAGAGAGAGAGAGAGAGAGAGAGAGAGAGAGAAAGAGATAGATAGATAGATAGATAGAGGGAGAGGGTAAGAGGGAGAGAGAGAGAGAGAGAGAGAGAGAGAGAGAGAGAGAGAGAGAGAGAGAGAGAGAGAGAGAGAGAGAGAGAGAGAGAAAGAAAGACAGATCAGAAAGAAAGAGAGAGACAGGGACAGAGACAGAGAGAGAGAGAGAGAGAGAGAGAGAGGAAAAGAAGAGAAGAGAAGAGAGAGAGAGAGAGAGAGAGAGAGAGAGAGAGAGAGAGAGAGAGAGAGAGAGAGACAGAGAGAGAGAGACAGAGAGAGAGAGAGACTGAATAATAAAAACATTTGAAAGCAACTTGGAATCGGCGAGGGAAGAGGGAATGTGAAAAGTGATTATGGAGACAGATAAAGGACGATAAAGTTAGGAAGCAAGAAGTATTGCAAAGAATAGAAACTAGGAGACTAGACAAGAGAAAAGATAGAACTCGGGAATGCAATTTGCAATCGGCACGAAAAGAGAAGGAAGAGGGAGAAGGAGAAGTGAGTAAGAAGTAAGTAAGAAGGATTGAATAAAATAGAAATAAAAAGAATAAAAGAAAGAAAGGTGTGAAGAAATTAAAAATAGGAGACAAAGTGGACACAAAAGAACAGAAATAGAATAATGAAAAAAGGGAAGAGAGGGAGAGTTAATTAAAACGAAAATTTAGGCGAAAGAAGAGCAGGAAAGGAGGTAGATACTTAGAACGAGGGAGAAGGATAAAAGAGAATAAAGATGGTAGATAAAAAGGATAAAATGGGATAAAGTGCTTGATGAGAAAGAAAGGGAATAATGCAAATAAAAGAAGAGGAGGAAGGAGGAAGGAGGATAGCTAGGACGGGAGAAAAAGGAGGAAAGAAATGAACAGAGGAAGAGAGCGAGAATGAATGATAACAGAGAAGAATAGAATAGAATAAATGTAGGAGAAAGAAAGAAAGAAAGAAAGGGGGAAGAGGGACACATCGAATAATAATAGAATAAAAGATGAATATAAAATGATAAAGATAGGATAATAAAAAGAAAGAAATGGGGAAGAGAAAGACAACGAATTGTAACAAAAACAAAGTATAGAAAATGATAAAGATAGGAGAATAAAAGAGAGAAAAGGGGAAGAGAGAGACAACGACTAATAATAAACTACAAAGAAGGATAGAAAGGGATAAAGACAGGAGAATAAAAAAAGGGGAAGAGGAAGAAAATGCATGATAACCGGCGCGAGAAGAAGAGAAAAAGGAAGTAACAGGTAAGGGCAATGGAGAAAGAAAGGAACAATAAATAAAGAAGAAAGATAAAGGAGACAATGAAAGAAAGCGATAATGAATGGTACCACATTAAGAATAAAAGGAAGATGAGGGGGTTAGTTACGGCCAGTTAGGAAGGGATGAAAGAAGAATGAAAGAGAAAGAGAAAGGGACAAAGATAAAAAAGTAGAATAAGGGAAAAGAAAGGAAGAATGAAAGAGAAAGAGATAGGGATAAAGATAAAGGAAGTAGAACAAGAGAGAACGGAGAGATAGGAGAATAAATGAGAAAGAGAAAGGGTTAAATATAAAGGAAGAATAGCAGAGGAGAGGAAAGGAAAAAAAAAGGAAAATAAGAAAGTAGATAGGGGTAAAATATGAGAATGAATGATTAAAAAAATAAGACAAAGGATGAGGGAAATAATAAAGACTAAATGAAACAGAGTAAATAGAGATAATGAGTGATAACTCGACCCTGAGGAATAGGCCTATGAAAGAGGGGAAGAAAAATACTTATATATACACATACATTCATACATAAACACACACATACATACATACATACATACATAGATACATACATACAGACAGACAGACAGACATACATACATAAACACATATATACATACATACATACATGCATACATATATACATAAACACATTTATACGGAAATCCATACATTAACATACATACATACATACATACACACATAAGCACATAATACATACATAAAC